TAAGGCTGTATAGAACACTGATAGTCCCCGTTCTTACATACGGATCAGAGGCATGGACGCTAACGAAAACAGATGAATCCGCTCTATCCATGTTTGAAAAAAAGTTGCTACGCAATATATTTGGAGCGGTCTGTGAGAACGAAATATGGAGGCGTAGATATAACTTCGAACTGCAGAATATCTACAATCATACGTTTGGTGGTAAAGATATTACCACTATAATTAAGCGAAACCGCCTGCAGTGGGCAGGACATGTAGCCCGGGCCCCTGAATCGAACATGATAAAAAAGATTCTAACAGCGCAACCTGTGGGAATGAGACGACGGGGTAGACCAAAGCTGAGGTGGATGGATGGGGTAACACAAGATGCGGAGAAGATCGGATTCAGCAACTGGAAAATTCAAGCAAGGGACAGAACAGAATGGCGTAGAAAGCTTGAGAAGGTCAAGGCCCTCTAAGGGCTGTAGCACCAAGATGATGATGATGATGATGAGCCCCTACCTTTGGGATTCAAACAGAAGTCGGGGGGGAAAGAATTTGCTTTTGGTTTTATTGAATAATTTGAATAAGAAGTACCTATTAAGTTGACACCTAGTCCGGTTATACCTGGTTCCAGGCCTTTTTTTTCCTTGCCGTAGCTGCTCCCCAGAGGTCCAGATCTGACCTTCCGATTACGAAAATTTTAGGAAGCCAGCGGGAATTATCTCCCTTAAAATATAGTAAATCTGGATTAAGTTTATTTCTTAGATTTATTTTTTTTACCTATAATATTTTTTGTATAATTTTTTTTTGTATATTTAACTTCTAGTATTTCATATAATAATAAGAGTCGTCATTTTTTTAATAATTTATTGAATAATATTTAAATACAAATTGTCAACTACAGGTAGAGGTTTTTAAGTCCTCCCTTCTAACTCACTTGTATTGTTTCTTGTGTACACATTTAATCAGAGAGTTATTTTTTTAGATTTTATTATCAATATATATTTAAACGTTTGGACACTTATCTCGTCAAGATAGTGTCCTTATTACTTGTTACTGTTATATTCAATAAAGCCAGAATACAGAGTTGCATCTCTGAGCCAAAAATTTTTCCATATTTTATTATTTGTAAATTTAGATCATCCAGGATCAGTTTTATAACCAGGGCATTTATTTTTTTTTGTATATAACTAGATTAGCTGTACATAATTGGTGATGGGTATATTAAATTTAGATTGTATATATTTGGCTAGGGATTAAAGTTTTGGTGAAAACTAAATATTTCAATTCATACCTATAACCTTTCTTTATTTCAGCAAACAGCTTTACAAAATACCTTGGAAAGTTTATGTAAATACTTTCCTCGCGCCCACTCACATTTTGGAGCAACTTCTACAATCACTTTAATTTATTTTAGTTATATACCTATAGATTTTTTTTATAACCTTGTCATTCATTTTCTCATTCTACGGTCTCTGTAGGGCATGCAAATCGGCCGAATTCTCCTTTGAGTGCCAAGTATTCACTCTCCGGCACCTTCTGCTAGCCAGCTTAAATTATATGTTATCCTTGCCATTATCCTACCCGTTTTTATTAAGCATATTTTTATTCGCTAATAAGCATATTTTATTACATTGGCGTCCAACAGCATAAAAATCTGATTTGTTACAGATTCCATAATAAAAAATCGTCTAAAATTTTACCTTTTTGCACTACTTATATAAAAAAATTTAAACTATAAAATAAATTATAACAAATAAAACAAATACAAATACGGCGCCGTATTTGTCTAAATTCAACTTTTGATTTGACCACAGCACACTCCCTCCGCGTAGAAACGAGTCTAGCAGCGCCACCAAACGAATGGGCCTATGGCATCGAGCAAAAAGACAATAGAGGGAATGTAAAGGTAGTGGGGGCAAACATATTGTTAGACAGGAAGTGCGATCTTTAGAGGCCACATTAAACAAGGAAAGAGAGTCTCTCTCCTTGTTTGACATCAAATTTAGTTGGGTTATGTTATTGTTTGTTCCAAATGTCACATGAAATCTTATTTATATTGAAGTTTTTTAAAAATTGTGTCGCATTTTAGACTCTTATCATTAATAATTAATTAAAACTTTCTCGTCTAAGACACATTCTGCGAAATATTATATAGCTACTGTTGATAAGTGTCGGAAAATTTAAATTTGGCGCATTCGCATTTCCGGATATGTCCGCCATCAGAGGCCACTTTTTTGGTCTCCTTTTCATAAGGATTAGATTCCCTCTTTTGTCTTATTGCTCGATGGCCTATGGGCGCTAAATCCGAACGTGATTTGACATTGCCTATCCCTGTTACCAATCTAGGTGTAATTTGAATTTTATCTATGGTCACGGTTCGTAGACTTACTACGGTTGCCTCTTCCGACTGGGGTGGGGATGCTTAAGTTACGTAACAGGAGTACACAAGAATCATCGAGCAATAAGACAAAAGAGGGAATCTAATCGTTATGAAAAGGAGACCAAAAAAGTGGCCTCTGATGGCGGACATATCCGGAAATGCAAATGCGCCAAATTTAAATTTCATGACACTTGACAATAATCATACAGTTGTGTACGGGTTCTAATTATCTATTTATTTATTTTATATTACATAATATTGTATATTATCTATTTATTTATTAAAAAACTTTTTTTAACACTAGAACACAATAAAGTTTTAATTAATTAATAACGATAATAGTCTAAAATGTTAAACAATTGTTAAAAAACTTCAATAGAAAATATAAATAAGCTTTCATGTGACAGTTTTGACAAACAATACCATCAACAATAACATAACCCAACTAAATTTGATTTCTTAAACAAGGAAAGAGATTCTCTTTCTTTGTTTAAAGTGGCCTCTCAAAATAGTACTTCCTGTCTATCAATATGTTTACCCCCACTACCTTTACATTCCCTCTTTTGTCTTATTGCTCGATGACAAGAATACAAAACCCATTTATTCGCGATTGAAACTGAATGTAGAGGGCAGGTCGATTGCAGTGTCATGGCCGCTATAAATGGTATAAACAAAAACAAACATAACATTCGAATATTTACCATTGCTTTTCCATGTTTAGTTTGGTTTAAGACGAGTTATTTGTATCATTTAATAATGGAAATTAACCTTAATGATATCTTTGAGTCATCGAGCAAAAAGACAATAGAGGGAATGTAAAGGTAGTGGGGGCAAACATATTGTTAGACAGGAAGTGCGATCTTTAGAGGCCACATTAAACAAGGAAAGAGAGTCTCTCTCCTTGTTTGACATCAAATTTAGTTGGGTTATGTTATTGTTTGTCCCAAATGTCACATGAAATCTTATTTATATTGAAGTTTTTTAATAATTGTGTCGCATTTTAGACTCTTATCATTAATAATTAATTAAAACTTTCTCGTCTAAGACACATTCTGCGAAATATTATATAGCTACTGTTGATAAGTATCAGGAAATTTAAATTTGGCGCATTCGCATTTCCGGATATGTCCGCCATCAGAGGCCACTTTTTTGGTCTCCTTTTCATAAGGATTAGATTCCCTCTTTTGTCTTATTGCTCGATGCTTTGAGTATTGTGGTGAAGCAAAGAGTCCATTGGTTGAAGGGGAAGCAGTTTTCAAGTGATGAATTCCTAAATTTTAACTTTAATGTTTCGAACTGGCTTGTGTATTGATGATGATGAATCCTATTTTGTGTATACCTGGGAATATAATATTCTGTGTAATGTTTGCCTTAACGTATATATGCATTATTATACCTTATGTTTTTAATATGTTAATTTTTATTTTATACTATTTTTTGACATATGTAAGTACTTTATTGTATATTAACATAAATAAATAACTTTAACTTGGCTTTATTGTAAAATAGTTCATTTGATTACATGAAATCAACCTACTTTATTTATAAAACATTTTTGTTTTGATACATCCATCCTATCACAGGGCTGAATGTTAAGATTCAAATTACGTCACAGGAGTACAATCCGGCTTAATGTTCATTGGTTAGGCGGAAGAGGCAACCGTAGTAAGTCTAGGAACCGTGATCTATGGTCACAGAATACTAAACAAACAGAATGCCCACTCTCCATGGAAAATTAAGTACACGCATCTCCTTCGCGCAGACGTTCCGCCATGTTTTACGAGGAATTTAAAGGGAACCAGTGTTGTTTATGTGGTGTGCATGAAAAAAAAACCAGGTTTATTTGACTTACGGCAATCATAGACATACTATACAATTATATTAACAGTTTTAAATATAATAACATAAATATAATATAATTAAACATAAATGTAAAAAATTGCATAACCTCACAAATCATATGTTTGTGTCCTCATAAAACATGGCGCGTGTGCTGAAAAACTTCAAAGGCGGCATCTGAGAGTGGCCCTTCTGATTGTTTATTATTCTGTGCTATGGTTACGTGCAGCCACAAAATATTATATCTATCATCTATCCTTGTCAGATTCATTTTGAATGGTACTGGCACAGAATAATAAACAAACAGAAGGGCCACTCTCAGATGCCGCCTTTGAAGTTTTTCAGCACGCGCGCCATGTTTTAGGAGGACACAGACATATGATTTGTGTGGTTATGTAATTGTTTATATTTATGTTTAATTATATTATATTTATGTTATTATATTTAACAATGTTAATATAATTGTATAGTATGTCTATGATTGCCGTAAGTCAAATAAACCTGGTTAATTTTTCCATGTACACCACATAAACAACACTAATTTCTTTAAAATCCTCCTAAAACATGGCGGAACGTCTGCGCGGAGGAGATGCGCGTACTTAATTTTCCGTGGAGAGTGGGTATTCTGTTTGTTTATTATTCTGTGGTACTGGTGATTGTTTTGGATGAGTTGACATAGAACAATTTATTTTAACTTTAACTAACTGTAAAAAAGTGATGGGATGGCCGGTTCATCTTTATGTCTTTTAAAATATTTGTGACACGTTGGAATCCAGATAATTAAAAAAAAAATAAAATGGGCCAAAAGTTTCAATACGACGAAAGTGGTGGAACATTTTTCTATTTCTTATTATCATTTTTAGCATTAATTTTGATTCCCGCAACATTTTACTATTGGCCGAAAAAGAAAAAGAGAGGTTGGAATAGGCAAATATTAATTTTAATATTTTATTGCTTACTTTTAGTTTTGTGAATATATAACTTATTTCAAATTTAATGTAATATGTGTGTATAATTGATTTGGTTGTTTGTTTAATCAGTTATTACAGAAAATTTACTTTTATTTAGGTTATTTTTTGAAGTATTGTATGTTCTTTAATATTTTAGATGTTGAAGACGAAACCAAAGAATGTACATGCACAGGATGTATCTTGAAAAGGGAACATTTAAAAAGGTCAGAACCATGGAGGGGCCCTAAAAATGTTTTAATCAAATTAGTAATAGTTGCGGGATGGGTGATACTATTCTTATTAGCTTATAAAGTATCTCAATTTGACTATGAGATGTCAAATTTTGATCCTTATGAAATATTAGGGATACCACTTGGTACTAGTCAAGTTGAAATTAAAAAGGCCTATAGAAAACTATCACTAATTCTCCATCCTGATAAAGACACTGGTAATGAAAAGGAGTTTATGAAACTAACAAAAGCATACCAGGTAATACTTCTTGCAAAGTTAATATGATCTGTAAAGGAACTATCTTTAAATGCAAATTTAATTGTTGCTTGTAATGTAGGCTTTAACCGATGATGAAGCTAGGAGAAATTGGGAGAAATATGGTAATCCAGATGGACCTGGAGCAATGAGTTTTGGAATAGCTTTACCATCATGGATTGTTGAAAAGGAAAATAGTGTTTGGGTCTTAGGTCTTTATGCGCTCGTTTTTATGGTAGCTTTACCAATAATAGTAAGTAGTAATATTTATTTTTAATTATATCATAAAAAGCCAAGAAAAACATACACTTAAGCACTACTACCTTAGCTGTAATGTTCACAAAATCTGATCAATAATATCTACACTATAGCTATACATTATAAGAGATTCATTATTAAAATCATATTGTGGATATTGTTTCCATACTGTTATTGTAGTATTACCAATGAATATAGCCACATATAGAAGCACATTTCAAATGGGAGATATAGTCACAGTTAGTATACTAGTGTAGTTCAAAATACTTGTGTAGATGGTGACTGTATAAACTTTATTATATTATTTGTAGACACATTTAAAGTTAAAAATTTGAATCACAATATTGTTCATAGTTCTAAAAATACTTGGTTGTTAAAAAGCAAAATAATATTTTATTTTATACAAAAAAGTTGCATGATTAGGATTTGATCTCTAATTTTATAAAATTCAAAAATTTACTTCTAAGCATTCCCAGCCGCACTCTTGCATATTTCATAAGCAGTAGAAATTTGTGAATTAGGGAAGGTGAAGGGAGATCTCATGAGTGCTCCCTGGTTTACTTGAAGAGAAGTAATAAAGTAAAATATTCCTGCACAGCATATATTAAAAAAATATGTTGAAATGTTATTGTTATTACTTAACACAGAAAAACCAAATTAAAAATATTACAATTAGAGTAAAAACAAAAATTAAATTTCTAATATATACAATTTTTTTTTTATTATTGAGTTAATGCCTCGACAACTAAGACCATTGGCATGGTACAGTCAGGTACCTAGTGTAGTGTGTGTGTGTGTGTGTGTGTGTGTGTGTGTGTGTGTGTGTGTGCAGCGATATTTGTGGTAACCTGTGTGAATATATTCCTGTATTATGGTAACTTCAAAAATTGTGGTAACTTACACATGTTACCACAATTTTTTTTCTCAATATCTTCTTTGTTTTAGTAGTATTTACTATCAAAATAATTTTATATGCTCTTGTTTTCATTTGGCTTTCGATAGGTATTTTTTTTGCTAGGATAGGACCGAATAGAGCTAAAATAAAAAATGTGTAACGCTGATTCTGCGTATGTTGCCAGAAATCAGGATGAGGCAGATTTAATTTACACACGCAATTGTGGCATCATGGGCGTGGTCGTAAAGTAGCGCCCTCTAAGATGACCTTGCGGTGTTGCACATTTCAGTTGAAATAAAACTAGTTTTATTTCGCATTTGGGAATAAATGGCGTTAGTGTGTTAAAGGTGCCACAATAGTGCAACAATTTTCTTATACGCGATTTCGATGTTGACCATGTTAAGGATAATAATTTTAGGACAGGTTAAAAAAATATTAACTTTAAGAAAAGAAGCATTTTATTTCTCCAAACATTATAGTTAGCTTGAGTATCACATACTAATTTAAATAAAGTTGTCTATACTCAGTGATGTGCTCTGGTCATTCGTATAACTTTTCACATCTATTTTCTATGCAAATTATGTAAGTTTGTAAAAATCATAGAATGACTCGTCCTTTGGCACGTATGACCCAATTGCGAATAAAAATTACTTGAAAAATAAATTTTGAATATGAAGGACAGTAAGAAAACCTAAATACTATGTTTCAAATTTTATCATTATTATCAAATTACAGAACCTATTGTGAGTTTAAGTTGTTAATTTAAAAGACTTATCACAAGATTTGCATCCGACCAGCTCGAAGAGAAAAATTGTGGAATTGTTGTTGGTCGCATACTCATTGTACTTTTTCGGATACGTGGAAACTATTTTATTTTTAAGTGAAGAATACTCTTTTTTAAATCTCAGAAAACTATGATTTCAGAATCAAATGATTTAAAGTGCTTTTCAAACATCTTCTTCTTGACTTACTGGAAATAGAGATTTCAAAACGCTAATCTTGGAACTTTTTTAAACAGAATGGTATATCCTATGATACCTAATTTTTAGAGCTGTATATAATAATTTAAAACACAAATCAAAGCGTTGCCACAAAAATAACGGATGTCAAATTTGATCGTTTTTCTACATTATGCCGTTTTTTAACTCAACGGCCAATCATCAAAACACTATTGTGTTTACAACAATTATTGTTTACTTTGTAATCTGATGGAGATTAGTATCAAATGGCATTTTAAAATTCAAATTGAAAAATCAGGCTCTGTATGCTAGGCAAACCCATTGTAGACCCGGATTTATCTTTCCCAATTTCCTAATGTGATTTGATACCGCTATAGCAGTTATATCAATCCTTCTCTCAGAAGTACCCATACATTTATATAATAAAGTATGGAATATTCCATTTAAAAATAATGTTCAGAATCTGTCAATGTTCCTCAAGAAACAACTAAACGTTTGCAGAAAAAATGATAATAACAAAATAAATAAACAAATCTTCATCGCGTTATAAAGCAATTTAAACAAAAACTATGAACTTAAACGGCTTCTAAATCGTCTTTTTAAAAGTAGGGATTTTATGTTCAGTAGGGTCAAGAGAGAAGGAGGTATCAAAATGATGTCAATATTAAAGGTCTTTCTTTAGCCGAAAACTTGAAATTTTCAACTCTTGTTTTTCTGCTAAAATCTTTTCATGCATCAACATTACCGAATTTAAGCTTGCTTAAGTAGGTAGGTACTTTTTAGAAAGTACTGTATAGAAATGTAAATACAATCGATTCAAAACCACTGTTCTAATTCGGAATTGACTATGAATGAAATAAAGGACGACATTTTATCCCGAAATGTGTGTTTAATGTGGCCCATAATCTGTATTACAATTTCTAAAATTTTAGAGTATTAACCTTATTTATGTGAGAAAACGAACTATGACAAATTTGTTATGGAGTGAAAACTTAATAATTGTCCAATTTCTTCAAAAATAAATGGATATTCTGGTTTGGTGATTGTAGTTCGTGAATCTGGAATTGATTTTGAATGTTCAATATTACAAACTCGTGAATGTTGACAAAACTCCTAGCTGCTAAATTAAATCAAGTATGTGGAAATTACTTTTTACTGATGTTTCAGCCGTTCCTTTCTCAAAGTACTGATCAAAATGAAAAAAAAAGAATTAATTTCATATCGCACATCCCGAACAAAAGTGTCATAACTCAAAATGTTTTCAATCTACACTTATTTACGGAAATATGATACATGATATCGTATCTACTAATCAACAAAACCTTAGCCCAGTTACTTTAAAAATTACCTCACAGATGGCGCTAAAAGCTATTTTGCTCGGAAGATGTTTCAGGAAATTTTCCGTTAAAAACAGTATCAATTCGTGTTGCGTAGGTGAAACACCACTCGTTCCGATCAAAAGCGTATTATTTCCGATTAACGTTCAGTAATCGTTGCGTAAATTCGAACAAAAGTGCAGTATTTTGTGATACTCATATTTTGCATGAACGATTATAACATTCAGTGATCTATTTTCCCGACAAAAGTGAATCATCTGGAATTTATCGGAATAAGTGTTGTTTAATAGTGGTACGGTTCCGGTCAATAAAGTAATATTTCGAGTTGCTACACTCTTGCACGGAAATTTGTAAACAAAAGTGTTTAGTATATCTGTCCAATAGAGTAATTTTTCGAGTTATTACCGTTTTGCTAGAACATTTGCTATTTTTAAGTTAAACTTATTCCATCAAAAGAGTGATATTTTGATTTTCTACAGTTTTTACCGAAGGTAAGTACTACTTAGTTACATTTGATCTAACTGAAGGTCTCAGAATAAAAGAAGTGCAAGTGCAATTTGTGTATGTACTAAGTTAAGTGCAGCTTTGGATAGCTAGGTAATAGTTTATTTGGATTGAAAGGTCCTAGTGATCCCTATATTAGGGATGGGAAAAACTTACCGGCTTTAACCGAAAACCGTTTTTTTTTACTTCGCAATAACCGGTTTTATCGGTTGTTTTTTTGTCCCGGTTATAACTGGTTTTTTATTTTTAAAGTAAAAACCGGTTATTAGGTTTTTACGGTGTTTAGAATTATTTTGGATCCCAATTATAATTATTATTCTCAAGTAATTATTCCAATCAAAACCAGAATTCAAATTTTATTTTATAAATATAGAAGCAAACTGAAACTCACATAAGCCAGAAACAATTAAGTTTTATTATAATATTTCGTTGAAAAGGTATTTGAAATCAAAATATTTACAAAAGTGACCTAGTACATCATCTATTTTTCACACTTGACTCTTGACATTTAAAGTGGGTGAATGGCTTTTATGGCTTTTGCTGATTACCAAAAATAATGTTCTGACTATGAATATCGAATTACCAATTACGACTACGAATACAGGAAGTAATAAATGAGTTAAAATGTACCCATTATACAAATATACAAACGTCTTAAAAGTAATACATGATAAATTTTTTTGATATTAGTAAAAATGATGAATTGCAGTATTTATGTTGTGATATTATTTTTTTAAATCCCATTTGAAAGAGTCTGGGATATATTTTAATATTATTTCTCAAATCAAATAAATTGGCACTCAAATCCCTTTTATTCTAAGCCCTTCAATTATTCTTAGTTTTTATTTTACAAAATTTATTGTGTTAACTATTTTGATCATTTGAAAATCCTGTAAAATCATAATTGTTAAAATTTATTTTTATTATTTTGAATAACTTTTAAGTTTAGGTTGGAGTTATTATTGTCTTGTTTTCGGGTGCAAAAATAATAATCCTACTAAGTACAATAATTAGTAAATATGGATTCTTTTTTTTTTTAGATAATGGATTCTGTGCACGCCCGAACTCATAGACTAATGCAAGCCGTTGCTATTCCACAAGATAATGATTCTAATTCAACTACCCAGTCACAATATGAAGGCGCTGAAATTTTAAAGCCAATGAATTATGAACACAGCCTAAATAAAAATAAAACAATTTATTCAACTGAGAATTTTGAAGAGGTCATAATATCGCCTCATTGTTTATCGGATATAGTTGAAGACACATCAGTACAAAAGAATGAACTGTCTTTGGATCA